AGCTCTACAATCAAGGGTGTGACTTACAAGGCAAGCCAGACATTTCTTTAATTATCTATGAGGTAAACTTGGACAATCATATACAAATGTTGGAAAATTCAACTACCAGTCCTTCATCGCATTAGACGAAATAGGATAAACATAACTCATAAGTTTAATTTCGTTTTTTCTTTCACAGGAGACTGATCATTGTCGAGGTAAACCAGTACCAACCAGTATCGTATGCTGGACTGGCATTGAGTCTGTTCATGGTGAGGTAAGCTGAGTTTTGCATAACTCAAGCCATCTCTTAAGTCCAAAGTGAGTGTCAATTGCAGGACGTCCTGACGATGCACAACCGCCCTTAGTCCACCAGGATCCAGATATCTGGGACTTGATGATTTTATCTCGGGAGCCGAGCGACTCTAACTCGATTCCCATAGCAAAGACAGGCAAAATGTTAGTCACGTCCAGCGAAAAAGGTGAAGTGATTTGACCCGTTTTGCCAGAAGGTTGATTTGTCCACCTACCCTTTGCTAGACCATCAGGCCTCTTGATTGCATGGTATCATTTGTTTGGCTGAACTACCATCACCTCTACTCCGTCACCTTGACCTGAAGCCCCGTATGGACCGTCAATTATGCTTGAGTCCGGCATTTGTGGTGGGGCTGTGAGCCAAAATCACGCCAAAGTCAATCTCAAGGCCTGAGTCTTGCTGACTTCCTAGACCTATCCAACCTGACTTGGGTATTATCCGGTCCGAACTAGTGGATGTCTCACCTAGTCTTCGATTTTGTCTGTTGCAATAGCCTCACAAGTTGTACATATGTTTTATGACGCCTGAGTACGTTTCAAGACTATTAGTCCTTCTTGAAGAAACCTAAACTGCATAAGATGATTTTACCGATTGAAAATAGTCTTCTCCACAATAAGAAGAATTATCTCTCCAAAGGTCTCCTCATCCCGCCAGGAGGGAGACCTGACAGTGGACCGCAGAGCAGAAGTAGTAAACCTGTTTTTGCCATGAAAGACGACATTACTTGAATTCATTGAGTAGTTCTCGAAACTATATATACCTTTTAAATGAGGATTTAGTCCCTCTAGGTCACGTAAGGTGTTGGTAATGATGATAACTTTTGTTTCATGTGAAAGTATTTAAATGAAGATGATCGTAGATCAATCTCACCATACCCCTTCCTCCGATTCAGGTGTAAATGGCCGAGTTCTCGACTGATGCTTTCAGAGCTGGATGTCATTCCTAAAAAGGCGCTGATAACAAATCTGGAAGGCTAATCTATCCTCCCTTACATCTCATATCCACTCATGCCCAATAAAAATGACTCCAAAAATATTTATAGGGTTTTGCCAGTTCCCTTTCACGCAAATCAAAATACTTGTCAGCCTGAGTGCGTATGTGCATGTGTCAGATGATATACATCGTCTCTTAATACTGGTACATTCAATCAAAGCTAGGCTGAACACAAAAAGGCCCGTAAAAGCTGATAGATGAAAAAGGCCATGCACTAGGCAGAAACCGTACATGAGATAGATAGAAACCGCATTCGTTTTATGCATTATCGTGTGTAACTCGCTAAGCGCAAGGTTAGATAGGTGATGGAAGATAATAGATTAAGGCGTGTAGGGGAGAGAGACAAAAAAGTTTGGAAAAGACTGGTTATGCTTGATCGATGGACTTATGAGAGAGGATGTTGAGCCACCTTCTTTATACACCTTCGTTTCACACACGTTTCATACACCTACACATAGACACACTCAAATGTACAAGGGCGTAGATTGACATGAAAAGATAGCAATCAAATCCATCTACATCTATCCATATCTCTCCTAATATTTTAAGTTGTTCTTTAGTAAGGTCACCATGATCTAGAGTTGGCCTCAAGTATTTGCAGCAATTAACTCCAGCTCTGATGCCGTCTGTCGAGTGGAATGAATGAGAGCTTAGTTTGTTTGCTCCGATCAGAAGGAAAATGGCTCGTGGACAGCGTCAAGTTGAACGGTATGGTAGCACCAGACGACTGCAGAACAACAAGACCTGTGACCAAAGTCACTGCAAGAATGCTGTTTTAATGCTGACTTGGGTGAAAATATTGCTGGCGTAACTGATAGTGATTCCGTTAATGGCGTCTGCGGGCGGTTTTAATAGCTAAAATTGTTTATAGAACTGATAATAGGCTATTTCAGCACAAGTAACGGAAATTTTGTTGTGTAACCGGTACCCACACCTTATAAAGGGTAAAAATGAGCATCAGGATTTTTGTGGCGTAACTCCTCTTGAGTTCGTGGATCCTTATTGGGAGCTTGTTGTTTTGATTAACATGGAATTCATTATCTCCTGATAGGGCTCCCAGGACGAAAAAATGTACATCATCGCAGCTACACAACTTGGCTTAAGCTTTTGGCTTACGCTCGTTGAGCTGGTTTACATTTTGAGGGTTTGAAACCCCTTGACCGAAGCAGTCCTCAGAGTGATCTCCGTTGTGCGTTCTGCCACTTGGCAGAGCCTACTAGCACATCCAACCCTATGCATTTGTGTAAGGTATAGAGTGATTTTGTTGTGTCTGTGTATGTGTTAGGATACGATACTAGCATTTGGTATAATATAGCGTACTGTCTGTCCTCGATTATCAATAGTTGCGTAATGTTGCATACATACCTGGTCAGATTGATGGGCTCTTCTTTCTGAACTTAGATCTATAAAGTGTAAATGTAAGCAGAAACATAATCCAAATGGGCTAGTTGAGTTACCACTCTTTGAAGACTACTTTTTAATCTTAAACTTTCTCTCTCTCTTCCTCTTTAAGCCCGTCAATAAGCTTAAGTTTCTATCTTATTCTGTTGAGCTCGACAGTTTCTCTAATTTCGCTCCTAGCAGCAGACGAAAATGTTAAAGCATTCTATTTCATCTTAAATTTCTGACTAAGCACCGCATTAGATTAATGGGAAATACACTTTCCAATGTAAAGATATGGCAGAAGTAATGTGATTGGATCAAAGGAAGGGTTGGTCTGGTGCGAGGATGGGAAACAAAAAGTCAGCCACGCACCTGGCACAAAGATGGCCGCTCCGCCGTCTGGCAACCTAATGTCGGGCATGAGGATGCCCCCATGCGAGGCGCCGGGCGGCAGGGCGGCGGGCAATGGCTTCGGTGGGGACGGCGTGGTAGAGATTGGTGGCAGTAGAAGCTCCGGCATGAGGACAACGACGAGCTCGTCCGGCGACACGGTGCTTCGAGACGGGACGCCCATTGCGACAGCGTTCGTGGAGAGACGTCCGGTGGTCAGGTCAATCAGGTGTTCCCCGTTGAAGCTGAGGGCTAAAGTTTGGGGGTCAAATGCAGCAATTTGACGTTAAGGATGGAGCAAAATTTCCTGGCTTGGCTTGTTTAGCCCATTTGCGTTGTTTGTGCGCGTGTATGCGTGTATATTGAAAAGGTAAAAGTGCTGTAGCCATACCTCCAATAACGCCGCTGAAAGTATCCTTGAAGTTCCGGTCCACACCGAGTATTAGCTCCTGGGAATGGAATGCCCCGCTTAGATCAGTGAAGGCTAAAAATGTCCAAAAACACACACACAAATAAATACACGAATATTCGTAATAAAAGCGATTAAATGAAAGTAAGTGTAATATGAAGCAATGGTGTAATGCGCTTTAGATATTGTTTTGCAACTCGTATCGGTGAAGAAAAGGACTCAAAAGGTTCAGAGGCAGACTGGTAAACTGGGATTTGTAAATGAGTAGGGTTTCGAGACTACA